TAAATAAATAAAATAAATGTCCATTGACAACTAAAAAAAATATTTTAAAAAGAAGAAGTATATTGGATCTGTCCACTGGACAAGAGTTGGGGATGACCAGGCTGGCCAGAGGAGGACTGAGTGTGCTTCATCTACACACACAGGGCACAGCAGGTGTCCTGGTCCTAGGCTGGAGCCCTGGGTCTGCTGCTGACTTTCTGGATGCATCATTTCTGTTAGTTTTGTGCCTTAGTTTCCCCATCTGGACCTTAAGCCTGCCATGCACAGGCTGCGGTACAGGCACAAAAGCACTAGAGGTTCCCTGTGTCCATCTCCTCGGCTTTTCCTAAGCCAGGAAAAAGGACATGGGAAGAAACCCAGCACTCACAATTATGCCCACCACTCCTCAAACCTCAAGGATTCAGGACAAAATGTCAAAGGCACCACAGCTTGACAAGAGACCCTGGTTACTGCCTGCCCTGCAGGGGAAGGGGTAGAGAATGATCTGGATGAGAGCCAACCGGGGGACCGGCTACAGGCTGAGCCACAGACACAAGTCCTGAATGGAACCCAGAAGAGGTTTGGGTCTGGCTCTGCCATTGGCTTGCTGGGTGATTTGCCAGGCCTCAATTTTGCCTTCTATCAAATGGGAGTTATGAGGCAAGAGATGCCCAGATTAAAGTGCCACCGGAGTACAGACCACCGACAGCACCTGGCTGATTACAAATTACTAATGCTGCCTGCTTTCCTCCCTCCCACCTGACTCAGAAGACCCATGAGGGGTGGCCCCTTTCTTAGCCTGTGCTCGCCCAGTCAAATGAATCTGGTGGAAGGAGGGTCAGACTGCTTTGGCCAACAGACTCCCAAGTGTGGGCCTCCTTGACTGAGTCACTGATCAGCTTCCCAGCTCCTGGCTGGGCTACGATGGCCATTCCTCCCCAGCCCTGGACTCCCTTCCCACCTATCCCATAGAGACCACAAAGGCTACTGAGAACGAATCTTAGTCCCTGGAGACCACTCAGCCCCTGCCAGGCCAACTTCCACTTTAGGCAGAAGTGTGGCTTCATTTCACATATCCACACTGGTGGCCCTTTGGCTCATCTCCATCCATTGCAGGCACTGGTGACACATTTAAACTCTCGGGGAAAGTGTCAAAGGTAGGACCTTCTAAAGCAGGTCAGTATAGTTGCTCCTCTAAGGGCTCTCAGCTGTGTCTGCAGAACTGTTAAAGGTCCTCATGACTCCCTTGCTGCCATTCCCAAATTTCCAACAGAGGGACCACAGAGGCAAAGAGGAAGGGACCTATGACGCTGAAGAAGATGACGCTAGAACCTGGGAGGGCTCCCAAACTTATGCTCCAGGAAGAGCTTCCTAGTTTGGATCTATGCAATGAGGAAGGAGCTATCTAGCTCCTTGGAGCGTCTAGAGATGCTAGAAGAACACTGGCAGGTGTCTTGTGCCAAAGATGTTCTCTGGTTAAATAGGTATGGAAAATGCTGGGCTGAAGAATGGTTACTGTGTTTTATTCCGTAGGATTTTTCAGGACAGTGCCAGCAGGCATTGTATGAATCCAAGAAAAGACAGCATGGTGTTTTTCAAACAAATTTGATCCCAAATCCCTTCCCCCATCACCCACAAAGTACAGATCACTTGACAGTAGGGCTATGCTTCCCAGCTACTTCTGTCCCTGGAGGAAAAGGGAAAGAAAAAGGCTGCCCTGATAATCCAAACTGAACGGAGAGGGACAGCCATATTGTTCCTGGTGATGGTGGTGGTGGTAGGGGTACAAGAATTAGCCAGGACAGGACCTGGGTACGACTCCAAGGGACTCAAAAGTAATGCTTAACTCTACTTTTTTGCAGAACTAGAATCCCACAGTCCCTACACTGCTGTGAATTTAAATTCCAAACAGAACTTGGCAGGGAGGACCCCCATGCAGCCCAACCCCCACTCCTAAGAACTGCCTTCCAGGGCACCTGGAGAGAAAGGAGGGGCTTAGCTAAGGCCCAAGTCACTCTCCAAAGACATACTTGTTGCCACAGATCAGGTTTCTGAAACGGAGGATTCATGGGGTCTGGTGTGTGGACCCAGAGGTCTTTTGAGAAATTGTATGAGGTGCCTGTTCTGCCTTAGGTCACCTGCTGGTACTTGCCCCTACACTTACATGTGAACTCTGCCGTCTCCCTTTCTGTTCCCAGGGCCAGAGTGCCACTCAGAACCCTTGGCTTATCTTCAGCTTCCATGGCTGAGGTTCCAGGGGTACAATGGGCTTCTGTGCCCCCATGTCCTCACCCCCCATGCCAGCTGCATTCATGGTGTTTTGCTATTGTGGTGGGAGCAGCCTGGGGGTGGTGCAGGAGGGGGTGGGCTCTTGGCACAGGGGCTGGCGCAGACAGGCTGTGGTCAGTGGTCAGCATGCAAGTCACATCCGCAGGCACTGCCACCAGGCCTGCCAGGCCTTGCACAGAATGGCAACGTTTCTGGGCCCCTAGGTCCCTTCATAGAGTTCCCTCCAGCCCACACAGGACTTGATGCTTCTCTGACTAGCCCCATGGTGGCATTGAGGTGGGGGGTATTTCTTCTTGCCTTCTCAGCCAGTTGCTATTTTGAAGCCATATTAGGTCACCAGCTAAGCCCTGTATGCAGGAAAGGCCTGTCCCCAAAGCACAGCTGGGGCTCTGAGAGGGTTTAAGAGGCGCAGTGGCGGGGGGGGGGGGGGGGGGTGAGGACAAGGGAGCCTGAAGCCAAGAGAGCCTTCCGGATCTGCAGGCACAGCCTTCTATCCCATCCAAGGAAGCCACTGGCCTGTGAGCATAAGAGAAGCCCTTCTAGGCTCCCCAGCCCAGCCCCCCTGCAGGCACATTCTCCCTCATTTGTACAGGTTTCCAGACTCAGACACACTACCCTGGGAGACAGAAGAGACTAACTTTAACAGACGGGCAATCTGAGACCCAGAGAGGGTCAGGAAGCTCCCTGAAGACAGCCGTGAAAGAATGTTCCACCATTGGCCCTTTATCTGCTCTTCCGCATTGCTGGGCCTCTTCATGGGGAAACTGAGTCACAGAAACAACAGCAGACAGCTCTCACTGAGCTACCACTGGGATCCTGGAGGCCAGAAATTTCCAATAAGAGGCACAACATCCCACTCCCACAGGGGACTCCTAAGGGCCCCAAACTCCCAGGACCACTTAGCAGAGACTCACATGTGGAGAACAAGGCCATCATACAGTGGGAACAGAGGGAGGATAGTAGGGACTGAGAAGGGACCCTGCTTGACCCACAGGTAATGACAATCTTCTCCCTGGATAAGACACTCTTGGGGCACATACTCATCACCACTACTCAACCCCTGCCATCATGGCACCGCCACTCAATCACCTGCTACCATGGCTCCCCACCCAATTCCTCACTATTCACACACACTGTCTCATCTGCCTACTGATCTGTGGCCTCCACTAGCCTGTGCCCACAAAGCCCCATGGACCCACACAGAGCTGAAAAAATGTTTGGTAAGAGAATCAACAACGGGAAACATCCAGGCACTGAGGAACCACTCCACAGTTTTCCGAAGTCACTGGTACCTGAAGCCAGTTCCCTGAGAGGCAGCAAAGTCTCTTACAAGAAAGATCCCCAGCCAAGAGCCATTCCTCCCCCAGAGAGAGTGTTTTACTCTCTGGATACAAACGCTTGGTACCAAAGGGTGCTTTTCCAGACTCATCTCTCTCTCTACCATGCTCAGTCTCCCCACACCAGTTCTAGTCACACAGGTCCACAGAGCAATTCAGAAGGTGCTGGCCTTAGGCCAGGATTTTATGTGTCCATGAATCCCCTGGTAAATAATGGCCAAACATATCTATGAGACCAGAAAGGGTGATTCTCTGCCTCCTCCATATACCCTGGCACTCCCTGGCATAAACAGGCCCTCTTCCCCAACCTTCTCAGAACTCTGACTCTCCAGGTCTAGAAGGAAAGTGAAAGTGACCCTCATGTATGGCCCCCAAACACCTCTGCACCTTTCTTTGCAGACAGCCACCACAAGATGGACAACTGAAAGCCAGTGATGGTCGTCTGCAATTCTCAAATAAGGCTGGAGTAAGTGGGGAGTGCATGAGAAGTCCTGCAGGAGAGAGGAGTGGAATCTGGGGAGGCTCTGGAGAAGACCCCTCAAAAGGTTTTAAGAGGTCACGGCTCTCTGTGTGTTTATCTAGCCGGGGAAGAGGCACTGCCCGGTAGACTTTGTAACTGAATCCACCAAACAGGCAGACTTTGCGACACAGGCGGCCCAGGTTTCTGGAGAAGGCGCTGGGCAGCTGGAACTGCTCCCCCTATCTAGTCCTCCCCCACTCCCTCTAAGGATTTCCCTTTCATTTCCTTCCAGGCTGGGAGGGCAGAGGACTGCGCAGTCTGCGGGGTCAAGCCCTCAAAAACCACTTCCTATGTGGCTGGGGGAGGGCCAAGCAGCCGAAGGATGGATCTGGAGGGTCCCTGTGTGGGAACAGCAGGAAAAACCCTCTGGGCGAGTCACTGTTCTCCAGGGCGCCCCTCGGGTCGGCAACCTCGGGAGGTCGAGGAGAAAAGATTTTAGGCCTTTCCAAGAGGAGTTCGGAGCAGAATCTGCACTCGGTCTCAGTCCGCGATCGCCAGGAGGGGTATAGGATTGGGCGAGGGAAAGTCACTTGGAAGGGGCTCCCCGCCCTGGCCGCACCCCGGCTGTCTGGAAAGAATCCGGAGACACCCCCCTGCCCCGCCTCAGCCTGCTTCGAGCAGGGCTCCCAGGCTGGGAGAGGGGGCGGGAGGGCCCTGCCCGGGCCTGAGCTGCTCCCAGCCATACTCTGACGGGAGGTGACGCGCTCCCGGCGCCCCAGGGACTTCGGGCGGCAAGTTTGGCAAAGCTGAACGAAGTCGAGCCAGACCCGGTCGGGCAATGAGGAGCCGGCCGGGGCCAGGCCAGGAAGAGCCGGGCAGATAGGAAACCGTCTGGCGCAGTGGGGCGGAGGGCTGGAGCGCGCGGGGGCACCCACCTCTCCGCGCTGCAGCTGGAAGAAGCTGTTGAGATAGCTGGAGTGCAGGGGCGAGCCCAGCTGCTCCGGGCGGCCCTTGCCGAAGGCCAGCTCCGGGGGCGCGGCGCCGGCGGGCGGTTCTGGCCTGAAGGCATCGAAGGCACTAGCCTGGTGCGTGTCCTGCAGCGACAGGTAGACCCAGTTGAGCAGCTGGGCCGGCTGGTACACCGAGGCGGCACTCGTGTCGATGGCCGACAGCAGGCTCATTTTGCCGCGGCTGTGCCGGCCCCTCCCCGGCCGCCCGCTCGCGCCCCCCTCCCAGCGGAGGGGCGGGCACCGGGGAGCCTGTGCCCACTGCCAGCCGCCCAAGCCCCGACGGCGATCGCCTCGCGTCCTATGCCCTGCGCCCAGAGCGCTGCCCGCAGCCGCCGCCGCCACCGCCTCCCCCCGACTGCAGCCCGGGCGCGCGCGGGCGGAGGAAGGAGGCAGCGAAAGTTGGGCAGGAAACTTTTGGGCCCGCCCCCTCTCGCCGCCCGCCCCTCCCCGCCCCGCCCGCGATCCGCTATCTGCCTCAGTGCTGACCCCTCCAGCGGCCGCTCCCAGGGTGGGGTCCACAGAGACTCCGCCCCGTCCTCGTCCTCCATTGGCTGTCTCATTGAATATGGGATAGCAGGGTGGGGAGAATGGGGAAAGGAGGCTCAACTACACATGTAGCGCAGCGTAGGCCCCGCCCCTGGACGGCCCCCTCGCGCGCCCTCCGCCCCCAGCCCGGCCACCACTGGCGCTCGGTACTGCCCCGCCTAATCCCTACTGTCCGCTCTCTTCCATTTCTTTTCGAGTCCTCTCCAAATACTTCATTTTCACTTGCTTTTCCTTCTTTCTCTCTCTCCAGTGTCTCTCTTCTCGCTGTTGATCTGTTTTTCGGTTATTCTGTCCCTGTCCGTCGGTCTCCTTCTCTCCCTCTCCCGTCTCTTCTACTTATGTCCAGTTTGATCATTTCTTCTCTGTCCCTCACCCCTCTTTCTCTCACACACACATACTCACACACACACTTCTACTTCCCTTCTCTTGCTATCACCGTAGGACCCTCCCCTTCCACTTAATTCCTTCCATCTGCAGAATCGCTTTGCGGGCCGGCTGCGTCAAGGGGGGCCCGGGTTCCTGCCCCAGGAAAGACTCCCCGCCCCCTTCTCTCCTCCCTCTCTCCCTTCTCCTATTTCGACTGTGGGCCCGCCTCGCTTCTCGCCCCTCTCCTCCACCTCGGCGCTATTCTCAACCCGCCCCAGTCCCTTGGCCAGTCGCCAGGACTCCAGCGTGGGGCCCGTTACTCTCCAGAACCAAGATTCGCCTGGGGGAGCCCTGCCCTGGTCTGACACCTCCCGAAGCCCCCAGGCTTTAGCCTTCTCAGGAGCCGGGTAGTTAGCACCGGCGCCAGCTCTGGGGACCTAGCAGCAAGGTTCAGCCTCACTGAGCCCACGCAGCGGAACTGCCCTCCTGGCAGGGATCGGAGTCACCTCTCCCACCTCCAGTCGGGCTCTGGAGCCGTTCCCCTCAGCCTCTAAGTGCCAGCTCGGCCACCTTCCAGCTGAGTGACCTCAGAGTGACGCCTGACTGCAAGAGAGCCTGTTTTCTCCTCTGTAAAATGGGATGGTCCTAATGCTAACGCTGGGGATATTTGTGAGCTTACCAGCTCCTCCGCTCCTGGAGGATTTTTCCCATTACCTTTTAGGCAGGTCAGCTGAGCACATCTATGGATGCTTGGACCAGAATGACTTTCAGTGGTGACCAAGTGCTACCCAGTCCCAACAACCAAGAACACCTTTGATCTCAGATCTCCATCTTTTGAGTTTGTCTATCAAACAATTTGCAATTTTTAAGGCAAATGATAACACATATACCAATCATATCTCAGTATTATTCACCAAAGACATCTACATCACAGTGTTAAGCCTGTTCGTTTCAAGAGGAGTTACAAGATTATTGGAAATAAATGTGAAAGACATTTTAATCTTAGAAATATTGGGGGTCATCTCTGGAACTCTGCTATTGTCTTTGAGCTCCCAAAGATAGAGGGAAGGGAGCCACAGTGCAGATCTTCCCTAGATTTTATAAAAAGAAAACTGCTTTTCAAAGAGGTGATATTTTCCAACTGCACAAGCAAGCAGTTTGGAAGCCCAGAGGAGTCCCTGAGTCACCCAGCCCCATCCTGGAGCCCACTCTGCCCCCACTCTGTTTTTCTTCTGGATGAAGGTAGCCTTGTTATGTCAAATGCTGAAATTTTTCCCTAGTGTGGATTACAAATCCAAATTCCTTCAGGGACCAGGCAGGTATAGGACAATAAATAGGTAGTGATAGGATTGGTGAAGAACCAAAGTGCTGGGCAGAAAAAAATACTTCCATCATCTTGTCAGCTTGAGACTGCAAGATGCCTTTCTGGTCCTTCCCTGTCCTCAGAGGGTACTTGTCATACCTGGGGACCCCGCTGATGGGCCCTGCCTCTTTCTCTCCTCCCTCTTCCCATAGTTCCTACACAGACACTGGTGTACAGATAGTGGATGGTGGGGAATTATGAGCTGGTTTGATGACTGGATGGAGGGGTGGAGAGGGGTGGATGGAAGGGAGGCCATTTAGCTCCCCTTTGAAGCCTAATTGGCTTCTTTGGTTTGGTACTCTTCTCCTCTTGACCACAGCAAACCTGCTCAACTCTTGAGCTCTGTACCCAGTAGGTGATCAATTAATGTGAGCAATTTACAGGCAGTTGGCCTAGACAACAACTGGTTGACCTGAGGTCAGCCTCTCAGCAGGCTGCTGGGGACATATGCTCTTCCAGAGACAAAATGTCCTATGGGATGGGGGTGATGGGTGTGATTAACTAGGTACCAGGCCAGAGGACTGGGCCAGCCTAGACTCTGTGCCTTCCTACCCTATCATGTACAAACCGAGAAAGCTTGCATAGAAAAAAAATGTCAGAGGTTCTAGCCCAGTTCCTCACTTTACATGGAAGGAGGCACAAAGGCCCAAACAAGAAAGGGACTTTGCCAGGGTCACCCACTAAGCCACCTGCTTCTAACCACATTCTAGTTCTTCCTTCATGGGTCCCAATCTGGCAGGCTCCTAGGGGGCTTCTATATTTCAGCTTGTGTGATGCCTGTTTGAGAGATGGGAATTAAAATGCCCACCCTAAAGCTGAGTGGCAGATCTACATTATTTTGAGAAAGCCTTATCTACACCAAAAAAAACAGAAGGGAAGCCAGCTTGTGGAGACTGCTTCCTAGGTCATCTGTGGCCTTCCTTTCCACTCAGAGTCTTTCCATCCCCTTGAATAAATGCCCAATGGGCATAGCATCCAAGACCTTTTCTGTATTTGACTCCTGATCACCTCTCTACCCAAATTGCAGGTTCACCTTGGTCCCAGATGTTGACCTCATAGCTGAAGGTGGGAAAGAGCCTTCCAAGTGAACCTCTAGTCCCTGCCTGCTGTTTTGGTGACTCCAACCACTCATAGTCCCCAGAATAGGACAATGGATGCAAGATGATTGGAGAAAAGACACCTGGGCGAGTGTCCTTGAGCAGGTCTCTTCCCAGTCAACAAATAAAAATGCGTGTCACATGCCTACTTACTTCTCCAGGGACTAACAGGATTGAAGGAGGATCTGAGCAGCGGGCTGGTGCTGAGGGAAGGGTGGTCGGGTCATTTCAATCATAGTAGTAGGCTGTTTATCTAGGGAGATGGGAAAGAGGGAGCAGGGATATGTCTGCCTCTAAGTTGCCCGGGCAGCAGGTTTGACAGGCATGTGGTGGAGTTTCAAAGCAAGAGCTCTGAGCTGTGAGGGGGCAGGAGAAGCTTGAGGGAGAAGAGGAAGCGGGGCATCTGTGTGAGGGCATCAGCCTTCAATTTGGGCCTGTGCGGCAGAGATGAGCAGAGAAGTCGTGGCTGCACAGGGCTGTGCAAAGCCATGCTGCCTCTTTCTCTGAAAAACACCTCATGGTGAGGTGTCCTGCAAAGGAATCCCCCACCTTCTTGAACTGCCTTTGCCCCCTGCATCAGGAGGAAACAGCAAAGCATACCCCAGCAGGGCTGTGATTCCCTGTCCTCTGTGCCTGGGCGGGTATTAGGTGCCTTTGGACTGAGTGTTGACACAGAAGGTATCAGCTTACAGCAGAGGGTAAAATGGCTAGCAAATACGCTCCTTGCCAGCGCCTGTCCCCTCCCCCACCAGGGACCAACATGCTGAATGCAGACAGACCTCCTGCCCGGACCTGACTTGTCTTCCTCCTGGACGCTGCACTCCTGGTCACCACGAACAAGGGCCCACGAGATGAAACGTATTTGCCATCTCAGCCTTTTGCCCACCCTTCCAGGGCACTTGCTAATCTTCATCATGACTCAGAATTAGAAAAGCGGTTATACTATACCCAGTGCCACCGCATGGTACCTTGGTGTCTTACAGAGGCAGCCCCTTGTTGCCAGGGCACGCAGTTTGGTGAACACCAACAAGATTTCACCCCCACTAGTCCCAGATGTCTTGCAAAGCCCAGATGGCAACACTATAAGGGCGGCCTGACCACTCCAGGCCCTCATGCCCGGGCTCTTGACCAGCTTTTAGGATAGTGCCAGAAGGGGAGCTCAGCCTGCCACTGCATGCAGGTTCTGAATGGTGGGGAGCCACCTGTGTCTTTGGAGACTTCTCCCTTCCTAGCTGTGTGACACTGGCTTCCCTGCAGTTGCTGGAAACCCAGGATGATGCTGGGAGGGCAGGATCCTCTGAAGACCCTGTCTCTGGAAGGCCCTCAGAGAGCACCTACGCAGATCCACGGCTGCTAGACGGTGTGAGGTGGGCACAAGGTGCAGGACTGGATGTCAGGGCTTAGGGCTTGTGTGTGGCCTGGGCACCTGCAGACCCCTGGGCTACACAAAGTCCCAAGAACAGGCCTAGTGGGCTCTCAGCCATCTTCAGAAAAGCAGTGGAGTAAGGGAAGACCCTCTGCACACTGGAACCATGCGTGCAGTCCCTTCTTCCCCTCCTTCCAATTTTATATCCACTTTCCTAAAAAGAAGGAAGGGAGGGAGGGAGGGAGGGAGGGAGGGAAGAAGGGAGGGGCATGTCATATACAGTTTCCTAGTGGCCTCTCAGCAAGCCTTACCTTGTGGGGGACCCCAGGTTTCCAGGGCCCCTGGCCACTTCAGAAGATGCCTGGTCACTTGGGACAGCAGCCAAACAGTAGTGTGTTCCTCTGTGGAGGACGGTGCTTGGGAGGGATAATTCTGGAATTTGTCTATATTTCAGCTTGTGGGATGCCTGTTTGAGAGATGGGAATTTAAATGCCCACCCTAAAGCTGAGTGGCAGATCTACATTATTTTGAGAAAGCCTTATCTACACCAAAAAAACCAGAAGGGAAGCCAGCTTGTGGAGACTGCTTCCTAGGTCACCTGTGGCC